TTCAGCTACTTGGGCACTATGCGAAGGAGAGAGAGAGAGGATGCCCAAATGATCTCATATAGGGAGACTACTGCAGCTCCCGACACCCTCCTTCCTTCGTGTATGTACGAGGAGCCGTCAGTAAAAAGTTCTAAGTCTGGGTTTTCTAACGGGGTATCTGTCAGATCGGGTCGGGGTAGTTCAGCATTGTGCGCTAGATGGAGGCAGTCATGAAGACTTTCACCAGTTTTCTCTAATGGGAGCAATGTGGCAGGATTTAAAGTTGTGCATTTCTCAAAGGTGATATTTTCTGAAGTAAATAATTCAGCCTCATATTGAGCCAGTCGCTGTTGGGTGAATGCTGTCTGAAACCTGTCTTTGACACCTTTTGCTTTCCCCCTGTCACCTTGGCCAGATCTCCTCTTGTATCTGCATTTCCTGTTTTTCCCTCCACTATGTCAGAATTTTAATTACTCTGGTCTTTCTTCTTGGGACATATGTTTCTATTTCTATTTAAATGATTTTCTATTCCAATGTTTCCTGTTTTTCCTACAAAGCTTCTAGTAGTGCCTTTGTTTCTGAATTTAGGATTTTTTTTTAGTGGTGGTAAATTCCTCCCATTTTCTTCCCACAGACAGTTTGTATTTTATTACACAGATTGAATATCTGTAAAAAGGAAAAAACTTTTGAGCCAGAAAAATAAATGGACAAATTTAAGGAAATAAATAGGTTTTATGTTTATTCCCTAAGAATGAATTCCAGAATATACATTTTACTTTACACAAACCACAAAGGAAAATTGCAATTCAAATTCCAAAATTCCACTGCCTGCCTGGCATCCTTTTAATTAGGGAATAAATGCAAGGAACAGCATCCTATAAACACCATCAGCTCTGAAAGCATAGCTAAAATTATTCTAATCCAATTATATTTTAATGTGGGGAAAATACAATATATATGCCACGCATAAAGGCATTTTTTCTACATTGGAATATTTATAACAATTCAATTAAATAATGTATCTATAAGTCAAATGTATATTGGGCTAACCTAAAATGAGCTGAAACTGCATAGGTTAAACACATTCAAGAATGTATTTTTAATATTTAAGATCCTTTGGGATACTGTATTACAAGAACATTCTGTTATTTAGAAAGCAAATGGATTAAGCAGGATTTTTTACCTCTCCCAAACAAACCTATGCTTTTTAAATGAGTTTAGATTTATTTCAGGTAAAGCTCATTTTGCAATAGATTTCAGTTATGCATTATTTGTAGGCAAATTAGAAAGCATTAGATGGTAACCAAGCATCTAATTCACAGAAAAGGCCAACAATCTTGGGCAAGTCATCTGAACAAATAAAACTGTTCTTATGCAAACATATTGTGCCCCCATGTGGTTAAACTGAAAAGATGCCTGAAATATCCTTTCTTTTTAAGTTGCTTGGCAAATTTATTTAGCTGTGTTTAGAAAACTAAGCAAAAGTAACAAAAAAAGATGCTTCTGTGGAAAGGAAATGGACCATCTCCATTATTAATTGCTTTTGAAAAGAAAAAAGTTGCTTATACTTTATTAAACATCAAAAAAGTATTTGTTACATTTGCTGAATTATATTCATGCAATAATTCCTAGAGATGAAAAAGGATTACATGACTTTCATCTTACTGGCTCAGAAATAAACTGAATTAGCTCCAAAAAAGAAGCCCTGTTTCTTAACTAACTCCAATTCTGGAGAGAAATTGATATCTCTGTTTCTATACAGAAATGACGGTGGTTGATATAGAAGCAATCCAGCGGTGGGCTGCTCTGGTTTGGCCCGGATCGGGCAAACTGGTAGTAGCGGCAGCAGGAGATTCCACCCACCTGCCCGGTTGCTTCTGCGCATGCAAGCACGCGCGGGAGCACATCCGAACCAGAAGTAAAAAAAATTGTAACCCACTACTGAAGCAAGCAAACCAATGATAAAGACTAGGATAACAGAAGTTTGTGTAGTAGGATGTTCTTTTTTAATACATATGGCATCTATTTGAGATACATTTCTTTACATGGGCTTCAGAGATATCTACAGATATCATATCAGTTTTGGTGATACATTTTTTCTTTTGCAATAAATCTAGTTGCTGATTAAGGTGCAATTTAGCCTCTAAGGATTAGTTAGTAGAATGAAACTTTCTTATATTAACCTTAAACTTTATATTTAGACCTCAGCCCACTAAACATTGCCACAATCCCATTTCTAATGGAAAGAAGAAGAAAAATAAAAGTTTTATTTTTCAACAAATATCTTTTCACCCAATAGACATCATAATCACAATATTATTTAACAGTATGGTTCCCAAAAATATTGTTTAAAATAATTAAATATTTCAGTGCACTTATCCCTGAGAGCACACATACAATGCCAAAGTATTTATGATTTCACAAGAAATCTCTGCTATTCCGTGGACTTTTGAAGATTTTCAAATTTGGGTGCAGATATCTTGGCTCCCAATGATGCTGGTTTAATAATCCCTGCAAGAAACAATTGAACCTTTGTGGCAGAATTTTGGACCAGTGGTCCAGATCACCCAGCCAGCCAATTATCAGGACAGCATTCCAAAATAGGATGGATAGTATGCTGAATGTGGAGGCAAGAAACGAGTTATACAGGACTGATGTATAAAATCGCACATTTCTGAATTACATGTAGTCCTCGGCTTACAACCACCGTTGGGGCCAGAAGTTGCCTTTCTGAGCAAGCTGGCTATTAAGTGAGTTATACTTGATTTTATTTCATTTTAACTGTGGTTGTTAAGCAAATCATTACAGTTGTTAAGTGAATCACATGATTCTTAACAGAATCCAGCTTCATTGACTGCTTTTCAGAAGCTGGCTGGGAAGGTCACAGATGGCATCATATGACCTTGAAATGCTGCACAACAAGGAGTTAAGACAATTGGACAAGAGCTAAAGCCACTAGTAGGGCCTGTCTCATAGCAGTGCTGAAATTTAATTATTTCTCTGCCCTTATTGTGTTTGCCGTTAGTCACTCAGTAGAAGACTCAGGTTTCAAGTCACTCAGTCCCTTCTCAGAGGGAGTAATACCAAAGTTCACTTAAAGGGTCTCTGGGAGGAATATGCTGCACATGTGGCAGACAAAGTCACTCACATTTGCCATACATTAGGACTCCAGCTTTAAAGCTGAATCTGTGGAAATAATGGGGACAACATCTTGCAGGGTGAACTGAAATGAGTTTGAGCCTATGAAAACTGAGGAAGTGGACAAAGCTTTCTCAGCTGCTCATTCAGCCACCTGTGTATTGATTAAATTATTATTAAATTTATTAAAGCTGCGCAGAAGGGAATGTGGAATTAGATCTGGGTAGTAATTAACTCCGCCTTGAAAGAGGAAGAGGTCCCACCAACTCCTCAAGAGGTGATGGTGCACCATCTCCCCAAAGGATCATTGCTTTACTGGACTGTTTTCAAGCAGTTTCCAAACCCACCATCCCAAGATTGTGGAGAGAGTAGTTGTGTGGCAGCTGCAGACAATCTTGGATGAAGCAGATTACCTGGCTCCCTTTCAGTTGAGGTTCAGACCAGGGTTTGGGATTGAGATGACATTGATCACAGTCATGGATAGTCTCTGTCAGGAGTGGGATGGTGGTAGTGTATCCATCCTGGCTCTACTTGATCTCTAAGCAGCAATTGATACCTTCAATACAGTCTGGGCTGGCTTCAGGAATTGGGGGTGATTGGCACTGTGTTCTATTAGTTCTCATCCTTTCTCCAGGATTAGTTTCAGTTGGTGTTCATAAATAGGGAGGTATTTGGGCTACAGCCCAGTGGTGGGTTGCAGGCGGTACGCCCCGGTAGGGGCTTACTGCTGCTTGCCGGAAGCACCAGGTACTATTCCGGTATGGTGCTCTAGAGGGCCCACCTGCCACCTTACCTGTATTTGAGCTCTTTGGTGCTTCCGCACATGTGCACGGAGCATACGGCACCTGCACAATGCTCCGCCGAGCAGTTGGAGCATCGTGGAGGCATCGCGGAGGCATCATGGAAGTAAGGACCCATGCGTGCGCTGTGTGTGTGTGCACGCATGCATGTGGGACATGCTGGACCCCGTTGCACTGCACCAGTTGCAACAGGATCCAGAATCCACCCCTCTTGCAACCCCTACTTTCTGGGCTACCTCGGGGTTCTCTCCTCTCTTATTTAATGTCCATGAGGCCACTGAGTAAAGTGATTTGTTGGTTTTGGGTGAGATATCATCAATATGCAGATGACAACCAGTTTTATATTTCTACTCCAGGCCCTTGAGTGTCTTGAGGCTGTTCAGGTCTGAATGGAGTGGGGGAAAAAATATTTCTGGAGATTCTCAATCATTCAGGCCATGATTATTCCAGAGGTGCTTTTAAAAGGCAACTGGTTTTTAGTTCTTCAGAACTGAAGATGCTTCTTAGATGGGAAATGAAATGTTTTCAAGGAAAAACCAAGAAATTCCAGTTGCCTTAACACTTTGGAAAGTGTCTTTGGGTGAAACAGGCTCTGATTCAACTCTAGCAGGATGGTTGTGAGTATTTGGACCTCTGGAAACAAGTTTCTTCCATCTTTAGTTCTGGATTGGATGATACTACCTCAGACAGATCCAATATGCAACCTGGAGTTCCTCCTAGAGTCACAACTCCTTTTTGAAGACTAGTTGGCATCTGGGTTAGAAGAGCCTTTTCACACCTTCAGATAATATGCAAGTTGCATGCATTTCTGGGCTGGAAGGCTCATCAGCTCACCATCACCAGGCCCTTTTAACTTTTCCCTTAATTACCCTTAGCATGTTTTATATAGAGCTGCTTTTGAAGAGCATTTGGAATCTTTAATTGGTGCAAAATGGAAAGGCATGGGTAATAAATGGTGCCAGTTACACAGTACATATAACACCACTAGTCTTGACTTTCAGTGGATTTCTGGGTGCAATACAAGGTGCTGGTTGTCATCCTAAAACCCTTCAGGTTAACTGAAGGACCATCTTTTTTCAAAAGTTTCTATCCATCCAATTGAATCCAACAAATTGAGCTTGCTGCAGATCCTATCAACCAAAAAGCATTGATTGGTGGGAACTAGAAGATAGTTCCCACCAACTAGAAGCAGTTTTTTTCTGCTGAAGCACCTGCCTTATGGAATACTGTCCCCTCAGAGATTAGAATGCCCCCCCACAAAGCCTGTAGGCTTTTCACAAAGCTTTAAAACTTGGCTATGTTCCTGGGGCTCAGAGTATCTTAAACCTCTTTTGCTCAGCTGTACTAATAGCTGATTAATTGTCACAGCTGCTGCTTGTACTTTTTTTTTTAACTTTGGGGGTGTTTTTTATTATCATAATGTTTTTTAAAATTGTTTTAAATGTTTAATTGTTTTATAGTTTTAAAATTGTAAGCCACCCAGAGTCATTTGGTTGAATTGTGCAGCTGTAGAAATTGAAAATGAGATGGGATGGAATGGGATGGGATGGGATGGGATGGCTATGCTAGGCTACCCTAGGCTAGGCTAAGTTAGGATAGGATAAGATAAGAATAGGATAACAATATACTGTTATAAATACATCTTTGTGCCAAGTGCCTGGATTTTGATCATGTGACCTTAGGGATGCTGCAACAGTCATAAGTGCAAGGACTAGTCATAAGTAACTTTTTTAGTGTCATTATATACCTTATATATATAACTTAAAACTAACACTATATATATATATATAATTAAGTTGAGGACTACCTATAATGTTATAGGAGATGGCTGACAAAAATGTCAGGCTAATTATAGAAGAGGAGACTTAACTAGACAAGGTAGACATGAAATCTTTTAATTATAGCTAAAGTTCTTGTTTCATGCAAAAGAGTTAAACTACAAAAATGCTACATATGTATTTGTATAAAGAACTAAAATCTGATACAACTTGAATGCATCTACTTAGGACATAAAAGTACAGAAAGATTGAAACCTGCTTTTGTAAATCCTACTTCCATTATGACCTTCACGTTAGAAAGCTTGGAAAGCTAATGGCTACATGGAGATACTAATTCAAGATATCTCTCCACTTGCACATGGCAGAAAAGAGAAAAAAAGGAGAGACAGCAGGTCAAAGAAGTTCTGAGAGAATTGAGAAGAAAGTCATGCTTTGTGGTGCTCTAGACAGCTGCCATTTTGCTCCCAGAAACCCCTAGAAACTACAATATCTTTAAAATCCTTTGGAGAAGAAAGGAAAACATCAAATGAATGAAAAAGCATGAGTATCATGAGAAGAAAGGCTTCCAGCAAAACCATACAAGCTGGAAAAATGGTTTGTGGCCATCTGTCAGTTCAATCCCCCCCTTTTTTTTCCAGGAATGGAGGAGCTTTATCCGGTTTTCCCAACATTCAAGTATAATTGCCAGTTGTGTGTGAAATGTGTGACTAATGTTCATCATGAAGCAGACAGGCTATGAGCCACAAATCAATGAAAATGATTTGGATTTAGAAACATAGTTCCTTGCCTGCCAAATAAACAGTTAACTGGCAGATGGCAGTCAAGAATCCCAATGGAATGGATAGTCCCTTCCCAAACAAAGCAGCTGTTTGTTTGGTAGGATATGCACATGCGAAGAAAAATGTCCAATGGATGTCCTTTCTTTTCCTCCCAAGTGAGTGATAGAAGATCCTAAACTTATAGGTTTTTTAAACAAATATCAAAACAACATGTATGTTTACATCGAGACTTGCTACACAATGCGGCAAAAGTGGCTATGATAGCATAATCAAAACATTGCCAATCTTTATGTGTAAACCATGGCTTGGTACATAGACCAGTTTAGTTGTCTCCTGAGTCAAGATGGATTATGCTAGGTATTGGAGTTTCTGGATACCTGGGGAAAAATGGCTAGAATAGGGGTCCCTAACCCCAGTGCATAGGCTGGCATAGGTCTTCAGCCTGTTGGAATCTGAGCTGTGCAAGCAGCGAGTGTGCATGTGAAATCATCCCCGACCCCTCACCACCACCTCTGCCACTGCTGCTGCCATTCCATGGAGCCAGAATGATTGGAAATTGCTGGGCTATAGGATCCATGACGGATAGCCAAGCAACAGGGCCAGCAACTGAAGGTGCCCTTTGGAAATAACATCAAAAATCTGGCTGAAAATGATCACTACAAATAACTGGCTGTCCTTCAAGTTGGCAATAAGCATTCTAAAGTGAAGAAAAAGGATTAGAAGTTAATACATCAAGAGAGTGATGTATTCACTCTCAAGTCCAAACTCATTAGAGATAATACCATCAAGGCCTTCTGGACAATTACGTGGATGACACTTTCATCATCATCAAATGCTCCCAAATTAAAGAAACACACTACCTACTCAATAACATATTCCTTGGTATTAAATTAACATGCAAAGAAGAAACAAACAACAGACTCACATTCCTTGACATCGACAAAAGTGACTAGACAATGGAGAACCGGAAACCCACGCCTATCACAAACCCACACCAGATTGTGAGCTTCACAAGCAGCCACCCCATAGCATACAAAAGAAGCTGGGTCCAGATCCTCTTCAGAAGGCCCAGGATACACTGCAGCATGACAACAACAAGAAAAGCGGAAGAGGAATGGCTGCTTATCATCTTTCTCCTTAAAGCTATTCAAAAACTTCATATTCCAACACACAGCACCCAAACCATAACACACCACACAGCCAACCACCACACAAAAACTAATCCTACCATACACAAAAGGGGTGTCAAAAATGACAACCAGAATCCTCCAACTCCTAGGAATAGCAGTAGCCCACAAACCTGCAGCCATACTTTGTCAGGAATTATTCAGAACCAAAGACAAAATACTGAAACAATGTAATCTACAAAATCAACTGTAACCATTGCAACCAATTCTACGTGGGACAAACATCATACCAATCAAAAATCAGGATCCACGAACACCAGCTGGCAATCAAATACTATGATCTAAATCCTTAATCTCTATCCACACCGAAACCAAACAGCACCAGTTTGATTGGAGCATCACAAACATAATTGGCCTCACTATCACTCACCATGCTTGTGAGTTCATAGAAGACTGGCACACCACGAGCAATTTCATCAACAGACACATTGACCTGAGAGGTTCATACTGACTTATGAATCCCCCAGAATCCAAATCAAACTCACAGCCAACCAGAGGACAGCATCAACCAACTCATACATCTCATCCCTACCAGCAGTTCACCTCCCAATGATCCTGACCTGAATGTAACAACCTTATCACAAGACCTGTCACAAGACTCTCACTGATGTTTCACTCCTGACCCATCACAAGATTCTCACTTGACAGCCCTTATAAACAAAAGAACATTGACACTGACATCACATAAACTCCACTGAAGATATTACCTGGCCTGGTAAGGAAACATTTGGAAATCAACCCACAAGCTTGGGGAATGAACCTTCATCCTCAACTAGACTATATTATCAAAATTATAATAAAAGTAGATGTAATAAAAATTCTTAAAAATTAACAAACAAAAAAACCCCAAAAAATTAAAATCTCTGATAACCTAACTAGAAAAGCCTTTTAAAAATTATGGGCATTTATACTGAAAGATTTAATGTTTAATATCCTTTTAACATTCTAGAAAGTCTTTACAAACACAGATTAATGGAAGATTTCTTTTATTTCATGTCCTGCATTACTATTATCTATGAATATAGACTTTATTCTCCCTTGATCCTATTAGCTGATATGAAGGTTGTAGATTTATAGCCAATTCAAACCTTTTTAATAATTTGTAATTATTAATAGAACAATAATGAATTGGAGACAGGCTATCCTTTAGTACATTTCTAAAAGAACATTTCATTGTTCTTTTCAAAAGATTTAGTAAAAACCTATATTTATAAACCAGGCATTTCTTCTTAAAAAGAGCATATAATTGTCCTTGGTCTCTTGCTATAATATTGCCAGCCGTTGATGGTTTTGTGATTTCTGTACTGCTTCTATTATGTTTACCCACAGGGGAAAAATGACTTAATAAACAATATTCTTAGATACTCTTAGAGGAAAAACCAAAGATAGATAGATTATTACAAATGATACAATTCTCTCAATCCATTCTTGCATTCTTCTTTGAATAAATCTATTTCCACAAACTTAGCAGAAGTTACTACATAACAGCAACACAAATAATCATATACAGCATTGTAATTTTTCATGTTAAGTCACCACTATTTACTTGGTTTGCTATTTTATATGTAAAAAAGAAAGGCAAAATAAGAAAAGCAAAACTTCACAAATACTTTCTGATTCAATTTTATGTTCTACAATTAAGACAGTTTGCATAATAATTTGGAAAACTGGAAATGCAACATGCAGGTAGTTCTCAACTTACAACTGTTCATTTAATGACCTTTCAAAGTTATAACAGCACTGAAAAATGACTTATGATCTTTTTTCACACTTACGACCATTGCAGCATTGTCATGGTCACATGATCAAAATTCAAATGCTTGGCAACTGACCCCAGTGCATGTGCCCCACCCCTTCTGCGCATGCACCCTGCCCCCCCCCCCGCACCCCATTTTGGCATCCAGGTTGGTGCAGGAGTGTTTCCAGACCCAAAATGGGGCACCGGGGTAGTGGTGGAAAGTAGTGGGTGGTTACTTCCAACCTTTTGGTGCAGCTGGGCACGACTCCACCCCAAGACACTCACCTGCTGTCGCTGCCCCTTTGCTAGCATGACTGGCCTGCAACCACAGCCTCTTTGCCACCACAAATGGCCTGCCATTGCCTATTTGTCTCCGCAATTCCCCCCTCCCTCATGCCCCTTTTGGGCCTGGAAAGCCTCCTGAACCAACCTGGAAGCCAAAATGGGGCATGGGGGGCCTCGCACCAGCAAAGAGGCTGTGGCAGAAGACCGTTTGTGCTGGTAAAGAGTCAGCAGGCACAGGCTGTTAGTGCTGTCAAAGAGGCAGCACCAGCAGCTGGTCAGTGTCTTAGGGCAGAGTCATGCCCAGCTGCAACAAAAAAGGTGAATCCCCAAAATGCAATGTGAGCACTCCCCATGCATGCACCATACTGCTTGCCCCCTGTGCATGTGCCCTTCCCTGTGTGCATGCGCATGTGTGTCTCCACATGTGCCCAGCCCCCATGCATGCACAGCAGACTCGAAGACCAGATAGCCACTGGGAGGCATGCATGCATTCACACTGGAGCTAAGCTGGAGCAACAACTGGTATTCCCACAGAGAGGTCTTTGTGTACCACTTGTGGCACGCATGCCATAGGTTCGCCATCATGGCTCTGGAACATTATTCAATTTTTCAACCTCTGCAAGTTTGAAATGCGTGGACTTCTTGCTGGCTGGGAAATTTTGAAAGTCAGTCCATAGTTAAACTTGGTTCATAATAGATCAGATTTAACTGTAGTTTAAAAGAAAAAAAATATGGATGATTGATGTGGCAATAGCAGGACGTAGTGAAATAAAAAAACAATGAATGGGAGAAGATCACAAAACATCAAAATCTAAAAATCAAATCCGGAAGATTATGACATAAACTGGTGGCCACAGTGGTTATCAGTAATACAAAAAAAAAAAAAATTTGGACAGCACTTAGAAAACATGCACATTGACAAAAATTTCCGTTTATGAATTGTAAAAAGCCACATTGTTTGGATAATACAATATCCTAATTCCTTGGAAAAAGGTGAATGAAGGTGAAGACCAACTAAAGAACTAGGCAGTTGTGATTTCATATTATTGTGAACATAATAATAATCATCAACTAGAAGTTTAGATTTAGATTTAGATTTTATTGTCATTTATAGGCCGCCCTTTTCCCTGAGGGGACTCAGGGCGGCTTACAATTCGTGGGAAAGGAGTGCAAGACAAAACATGAAATAATATGTGAATAAAATAAAACAATAAAACACAACATTCATTCAACATTCGGGTGGGGCGGATGAAAATCTTATCCCCAGGCCTGACGGGATAGCCAGATCTTAAGTTCTGACAGTATGGGATTTGCATGAACCCAGATAATGTGAAAATAATTTCTATGCTTCCCTACCAAAATCCTCCTTTCTGGTTGATATGAAGTTATGAACAGTTATGAAGTTGACATTTTCTGGGTGGAAAACAGATTACCGTATTTTTCAGAGTATAAGATACACTTTCCCTCAAAAAAGAGGCTGAAAATCTGGGTGCTTCTTGTCCACTGAATACAGCATTTTTTGCCTTCCGAAACCCTGCTCCCTTCACCAAAATGGCCATGCATAGTCTTAAGGAGGCTTCCAGAATGCTCCTGGGGGCTGGGGAGGGCAGAAATGAGCAAAAAACAGGTTGTTTTGGGGAAGTTTGTAGAGTGAAAAAACTTTTTTTAAAAATTTGCCTCTTCAAAATCTTGGTGTGTCTTATATTCCGGTGCATCTTATACTCTGAAAAATATGGTACACATTGCATGAATTGTTATTACAGACTTGCGAACTTAGTTTTTATTAGCAGTATTGGAAATTCAATTTTCAGAGTTTCCTGCTATACTCATTAGAAATTCTGGGAGCTATAGATCAATATATCTGGAAAAATCTGACTGGGGAAATCCAAATTGGAAAAGGCCATCTTTTATATAGCAGCATTTGTAGAGTATCTCAGAGTTCATCCAGAATGCTATATAATTCACAGAATGTTTTAAAAAATCACTGGGCAATTTCTCAACTAAAAATGTATGCATTTTTAAATCATCTATTTCAAAATGAGCAATAAAATAGGTTATTATATGCTGGGGCAAAATGAGTATGCTATGAATTATTCATCTGCATGGAAATCTTTTGATACTTATCGGTGACATGAGTCATAGAACGCATTGCATTTTTGCATGATGTGTTGTTAATAATAAATAAGGATTTATTATTATATTATTATAGGAAATGCAACAGAAAATATTAAACTTCCTCTTCCACTGGTATCAAATGATTTACAGACTACGAGCTGATTCACTTAGGAGATGAAGGTGCTCTTTTCATTACTCTTGATCCTATTTCCATACCATCCAATATCCAAGCAGCTGTGTGCAGTAATCCAAGACCCCAGCAGCTTGTCTGATGTCTGTGCGATCCTGAATTAACTTGCATTGGACATTGTATTATGACAGGGTTGACATTAAACAAAGTTTGCTACTCTAGGCAATACAACCACTATAGTAAAATTGAGTTGGGAGTGAGTTGTTCATAATTTTCTGTATTCTCTCACTAGTGTATCCAGCAATAACGTGGCTGTGGAAGCCTCACTTTGAGAAAGAATAGAAAAAGTTTTGTCGTCTTCAGTTTTCAGATTTGATTATGCTGTTAAGAATACTATACACAGTAAAATGAATATATCAATCATTCTGGAATCAGATAAAACTGCTCATTTGATCAGTAAGTTGAAATTCACATATTTTAGGTAAGCGATGTCAATGAAAGATAGACTCTAAGAAAATTAGTATGTTCTCTTCTATTACTATATTCTCATATATTGAAATTATGTTTGACAGAGCTCTGGAAAGTAAAAGTACTGTAAGAGATGATGAGTACTCGTTAACTGATGATGAAGAGAAGAAATTTCAGAAATGTCAGAGGAACTATGACAGTAAGCATTTGTCTCTATAGTTGTCTGGAACTAAGCTTGATTCCTTGACAGTTAATTCTATAATTACATATTTATTCTGAAAATACATTGACATTTTGAGCAGTGTTACACTTCAAGATTTAGTGACTATGGCCTAGACACTGACATTTTGTTTCAAGGTACTAATGACTAAACCTGATACAAACAATATAATAATAGGCTTTTGTTTAAAATATAATTAAACTGGTCAATATTAGTAATCCTAATTAACAGGCAAGGAAATTTTTGGAAAGTCATCTGCATTTTTGACAGGAAGCTCTTTTGTTTACAGAAGTTATCAAAACAAATTCTCTGCATTATTGTTATATATAATTAACACTGCCTTTTGATATTAAAATTAAGGTATGTGATATTGACGTCATGATAAAAGATTCTGTTGTTGTCTGCTGGTATAAAATGATGCTACTTTCTATGTCGAAATTTTGATCTCTTATGTAAGTTCAATTTAAGAGAAATGAACAGAGTGATCATAGTTACTTTAGCTACATGTCTGCTTTTAGCTTCAAAAACCATCTGCCACAATGAATCATTAATGACCAGTTTGCGGACTAAAGAAGAAAACAGTGAGAAAAACTCTTCTGAGGTAAGATCTTAACTGGCATTACTTTTTCCATGAAGATTAAATTATCATTATTATGATTAATGTATGTTCTTAATTTGCTGGAAGTTTTCTTTCTCTTGAAATAGGGGGTTTGGTTTTCTGCTTTGTCATTCCTCTGCAGTGGAACAGGCTGCTGGTTTTGGTTCTCTTGAGCCACTCTGCAGCCTTTCTAACTGCTTTTGAAATTCCTCTGGCTCATGAAAAGCAACAAAATTCACCTCAGTGAAACACTGTGGGGCATGGAAGCAATTATGATTGTTTTGTTTTGTTTTTGCTGACGAGAAGAGGGTGCTTCGACAAAGCAATTTGAGTGGCATCAAATCACTTTCACCTTCTCTGGTCAAATTGGATTTTTCACAATGTGAGCAGCAGGTACCTAGCTTGGACAACATTTAGCATAAACCAGACACCATTGTCCAACAGAAAAAAATCCCTCCTGGCGCAGAGCTCATTGAAGAAATCTCCTCAGAATGTCTCACACCATGAGCTCTTTAGAAGCAGAAGAAAGGTGATCCACATCACAGCAAAGTGAAGCCATGTGCTTGTTTCACCCTTAGAAACAAAGCTACGACATTGCTTCATGGAACAGGAGAGAAAGGTTGCCTGAGTCAAAACTTTACACAACCCTACAATGAATGTATAGGCTTTATGGAGGAGTTTCTTTATGACCTAAAAGAAATACAGTATTCCTCGGTCTATTAAGAAAGGACTGGTCAAAGAAAGAACAGGACTTTACATATATTCTGTGGCAAATTCATTTGTAAGAAAAAGACTAGAATTTTACTCTCATCTATGTGTTGATTTTAAAACAACATTGTTTACAAAATGTTTACAAAAGCATTGAATCAACATTTTTAAATGCTCCCCCAACATTGTGTGTGTGTGTGTGTGTGTGTGTGTGTGTGTACCATAAAGACAGAAACAATCAGTTTCATTGAGATAATTGTACAGATTGCTTAAGAATCAAGATATATTCACATGAGCGTGTATAGCTTCATGCAGTAAAGCCTGTTGATCTAAGTGTCACTTTGAAATTTGTTTTTTCAAAATTCAATAGAAATGTTCAATAAAATAAAAGTTCAATAAAATGAACTTTTCATTATATTCCCCTTTTGGAAAACAGGAATCATTTCTAAATAGATCTGTTTTTGTTTCTCCCACAGGTTTTCTACCTCTATTAGATATATTGTTAAATTTATCCCCTTGCCTCCTCCCAAAGTAATAGTAATAATAACTCTTAATACTCCCTTGTATTGTCTGCTTTTCTCTTCATGCACATTGCTGTAAGAATGCTTTTGTTGTTCAGAAGAGCAATGATTGAACTGCATTTCATTTTATATGTTGAGTAGGTTCACTTTAAATTCTACAAAATTATTTTCCTTATCCTTTCTCCCAAAATTTAGAGGAATTCTTTGTCTTGCACAACTAATTGTACAATATTTCACCCAAGGTCTACTTGAAATCACATGTTTACTAGAATGTTCATGCTATATTTTCTTAGTCACTCTTTCACTCTGCAGCAGTAGAGTATTAACTCCAGGGTAGGTATTCTACTTGCTTTTGCATTAAATTTTATCAAACAGCACAAATCCTTTTCTCTTCCACATACCTTTTCAAAGCATTAGTGCCAAAGATCATTTGCAACCCTTCAGGGACTTTAGGTGCACTTTTCCATGCCACTTATTCTAGTTTGGTTTCTTTGCTATATTTTTAATTTATATTTTTAAGAACATTAAATCATGTTATTTTTTTCCCTTCCAGTCCAATGAAGACCTTATAGAAGAAAAACAGAGAAGTGTGAATCTTGAAGAACTGAAAGACTGGGAACTGAAGAACATAGTTAAGATGAGTGGACCAGCTGGGAAGGTAGTGCCAAGTTCAATGGCTAATTTGCCATTGAGATTTGGCCGAAACTTCCTGGCAAGAAGAAATATCAAACCTACAGCCAATCTGCCCCTCAGGTTTGGAAGGGCTTTTAGACATTTCTCACACAGTTTTGAGAAAGATCCTTCAGTTCAAACTTTCTTCCATTCGCTACCAGAGAAATTTGGGAGATCCTTTCTTTTCAATTTGATTCAAGGCACCCAGGATTGTGACCAAATAAAAAATAGGTGAATAGTTTCAAGCATGCTTGATGGAATTATCATCTCAGTCAGTACCTGCAGGTTTTAAATATTAATCTAGTGTCCAACAAGAAAAAGACTTTAAAATTAGTCTAGTTGGCATGACATATATTTCTAAATTTGTCAGCTAAATGTAAAGGTAGCTTTGGCTATCAATTGATATAATCACTGCCCCACATTTAATCATTTTTGCCTTCCTGTCATTTTAAAAATACAATTAAGTGGCTATATTTGGAGGGGCTTTGAGAACTACTAAGAAGAAATTAGCAAAAGGTAGAAAATCAATTTAAATATTGAGCTTAAATGTTCAAACTGTTGGATAAAAACTTTATTTAGGTTGCATTTAGAACACTGAAAATCCCAGTTGATTTACATAGTGAATTAAACAGTGAAGACTAGTTAATGACAAAAATAACATTAATATCTTTTTTTCTTTCCCTCCCTCTCTCTCCTTTCTTTCTTCTTTCCTTTTTTTCTTTCTTTCAGACTTGGCCACTTGAGCAAACTTTTGAAAAGGAATTCTGGAAATGAAGAGGGAAGCCATCAGAATATGCAGGACCAGTTGTCTTTCTGAAATGCAAATGTGGTAGAAAGAAAAAAAATGGAAAAGGAAAAACATCTGCTATCAAATTGTGATTCAATCCAGAGCATTTGTCCTTAGCTAAACATATATATCATGATAATATCAGTAATAGTTTATTCCCATAGCTATGCTGTCAATACTAATTCTTCTGTACTTGATACAACTAATATCCAGTCAGTTGAAAAATATTATCTGTATAAGCAAAATAAAGATGAATAAAACTACTTATGATTATCTCATATATTGAGTCCAAAAGTAGAGGCATGGAGCTGTGTGTGTGTGTGTGTGTGTGTGTGAAAATTTAATGCGGCTTTTCTAACTGTTGTATTGAAGCCAGTGGTTGGTTTCAAAAATTTTTAGAACCTTTTCTGTAGGTGTGGTCTGCTTTGTGGGAGTGGCTTGCCAGCCATGTGACTGGGTGGGAGTAGCATGACAGCCATGTGACTGAGTGGGAGTGGCTTGGCAGTCATGTGACTGGGTGGGTGTGCCCAACTTGTAAAATGTGGGGAAACTCACTTAACA